CCAAAAACAATCTTATTTCAATGTAAGGTTAAAGTAAGCTTATTATAATATTACTCATATTCGTGCCATGATGAACCTGTCAACCAAGCAATGTATTATAGCAAAAGTGATTGAAAGAACGAATGATTTCCCAATATTGTCTATTCCTTACTAAAAATAGGAAAGAGATGACCCTATGTGAACTATATAATGCCATCTCTTTCTTTTTTTGATGTTCCGAATCGTCTTATCGTGGTGTAATGTTTAAGTACTATAAGTTATTTACATTCAGAGAATTTTGACTGTTAAGAAAAGAAAAGTATATAATAATAAAATCTATTAAAATTACGCTGTTTTCAATAATTATTCCGCATTTTCATGAAGAAAAATAAATAAAACAAGCTGAGTCTTGATAGTCACGTTGTGAATTCGGAATTATAGTCTAGTGTCAACTGTTAGCTTCGCCAAGGAGCATACAGATGGCGCTGTTATAATTTCACGAAATAAATATCGCGAATTTTTTTTAACGAAAAATTATTTACTATGTGCTATTAAATAGAAAATAAACAAAATATTGAAGAGATATGTAAATAAATAAGTTTAACTTAACTTTTAACAAATCAATATTAAGACAATAAAACTGAAAATAATATTGTTTCCATTGCATCAGTGTAATATTTTATGATTGTTAAATTTGACATAAGAGCAATATTACTTTAATGTTAGTCGCGTCATAGTACGAACTGAGTGAATGAATAGTGACAAAGCTGCCAATAAAACATCATAGTTTTAACATTACAATAAGCTTACTTTAAACGTGTTATGGTACGAAAAGTCAATGTAAGGTTAAAGTTTTAAGAGGATGTGGTAGGCCACCTGGTCCATGGTTTTAGTAAAAAATTAAAGTGACAAACTATAAATCATATATAATATATTAAAGATATTATAATAATTATCTGGTGATTCATAGTTTGAAGCCTGCTTTACACTAAATTCTTTTCCATACCTTTTTTCAAGGAATGTTTTCCCATTATTGAAGTTTTTGCCCATTGCCGTGGCTTTCCACGCGAAGTACGCCCCAGAGGGATCGCACTGGAAGAGATACGGCCGGTCGTTTTCCCAGCCGCAGATTAGAAGAGAGACACCAAAGGGACGGACGCCACTGCGAAACAATTTAAATAGGTAAGTACAACAATCATCATTGTAAAGAACCTGAGTCTGTACTTTAAAATATTTTAAAGTAAATGTCAATGCTACCTACTGAAGACACACTCCTATTCCCACTCCAGAAAAAACCATTCTGCCAAATCATTACGGTGACAAACTGCGCTCCGATTGGCCAGCCCGAATTCGAAACAATTGACGGGTGCTGTCAATTGTTTCACTTCAAATCGTCCAGTTTAACTTGAGCTTTGCTATAATGGACGGTAATTGAAAAACTACATATTTAATTACTGATGAAATGTGATTCCGTTTGTTTTGTAATTAGATGTTTTACTGTTTTTCCCACACCACCGAATGGAACAGCCCCCATTAGAGATATTTTTATTACAATAAATACAGAATATTTTTGGAATATACGAGGACATACACACAGGTTGGCGCTGTTATTTCAGCTTTCTAATTTGTGATTTCAGCGCAAACGAGAGTTGATATTTAAAAGTGATATAAAGCCCATCTGCCTGATGAGTTGCCAGGGATGGATGGCCCTTATTTCGTGTCTATTTTTAGTCATATAAACGATGACTCCGTCCAACCATTTACTTAACTTTTGACAGCTCGAATTATAATCAATTAGTGCTGTCCTAATGCGTTTCCGATTTGCTTTTTTTATAACAATCGATTTTATTTATAATAATTTTGTTTTAATCGTGATCGTGAGCGGGTTGAAAAAAGAAGATATTGTCTGATCGTGGGATCGCGATGTTGCGTTTGACAATTTGTACTCGAGAATTATTAATTAATGGCAATGATTCAAGTGATGATTCCCGTTCATTTGGAGAAGAATCCGACGATTCATTATAATAAAGAATAAGAATTTATTACAATTATTTATAATTTATTTCATTTCAATATAAGATATTAGACTGGTACCAAAATTTATCAACCTGTATAATCTTCGTTACATAATCTGTTGGCTCGTTTAATATCTGAGCTAAAGAGCACGTCGCTTCACTAAAATTTAAAAAAAAGAGAGTCCAGGAAGTATTGCATTTTTTTGTCTATCGTTTTATGACAATAATTACGGAACTACAGACGCATGCATATGTGAAAAGTTCAATAAATGGTTTGACGGAGTATAAACTTGAAACATCAACTAATTTATTTATTAATATAAAAAACGAACACAAAGAAAACTTTCTTGGATCTGACTGCACTCTAACCTATGTGTGTTTTTTCAGGCCAATTTAGAGTCAGCAAACCTTGCAAATTTTACATGTTACAGTGGCCGTAGCATGACAGTATATCACATGCAATGTGTGATAAACTTCCCCGTGACATATTTATTTCAATTGATAAAGCTATGTTGCCATTTTCAAAATTTATTTACACTAGAGTCATTCGTTATTTTGTTTACTTGGTAATGAACTATTGTTATAGATTATGAAGAGCAAGGATAACGATAAGTTGAAAAGTGAAATAAGTTGGTAAGTGAAATTGCGTATATAGCTATCTTTGACGTTTAATCATCGCCGCGAAAATGACGAAACAAAAAACATACACAGGCCTCTAACAATGAAAGGACTGGGTGTGTTATTTTTTAATTCATAAATGGAGCCTTTCTATGACATGTGGTCTAAAAAACTGACTGAAAATGATCCTGTATAGTATTATCCAATCCATCACGAACTTCCGATTAATTTTTAAGTAGACATAGTTTTATAATATTGCTAACCCAGATTGTGTGTACTCCTGCATAACAGTAGCGACCCTCTGCACGAGCTGAGCAGTCGGAATGGGCTCGTGGTACATGAGATAGTACTGCTGGGCCATCTTACGGGCCTGTGTCACCAGGAGGCGGTAGTCCGGGCCCATGCCGGAGTATACCATTCCTGTGGAAAAAACCAATATATGAATGAGACGATCTGCAGATAAGCTGCAAGTATTAGGAGCTTATTAAGAACTACTACCTCATCTCGAATTCAAATTTTTCCCCTACTAATACAGTTCATTTTTATCATTGACTTACAATTATATGGACGTCGGGTCCGCGCTAAAAAGTGTCCGAACTTATAGGGCGTTAAAATCGTATTCAGAGCATCATTCACGCTTTAGTCTTCGTTTGTTTGACTGACAGCGAAGCAAGCAAAATTAGACAGTACTGCGATGACATTACAATTTAAATTCAACGTTTTAGCTTTTTCATATTCCTTCACATGTCACTACGTTTAAATAGGTTGACTTGGGACATTTTTTTCGTGATTTTTGTATTAGACCCGTCGTCCATTTATTTGTAAGTCAATGATTTTTATTATGAAAACGAACGCGGTTATCACACATTATAATATAAAAGTGACGGGACTTACTTGCGTAGTATTTTAGTCGGAAGCGGTCCGACTAGTTTCGACTATAATCGATCGGTCTTCTTCAGGGGTTGAGTTCAACGTTCGCGACCGCGTCACGTCTAGCACTGCGCGCTGCGGCTCTCTGCGCGCGCGCCGATGACACAGTCCGCAGTGGGGAATAGTGGGGATAAAGCTAAGGTTTTAGCGCGGGAGAAGTATTTTGTGCCCCGCAAAAATCGAGAGGCTATTGAAATAAGTAGCCGACCAAATTTTAATAGAGACGGAGGCTGGAGCTTGCCACCGACCTGGGAGCCGAGTCTTCATGGCGCTCGGTATGCTGCTACAGATGTTAGTAGTAACGACGTGGTGAGCTTTGTGTGCTGGACTGTTCCCGACAACAATCCTACGGACAGCAGTAGCGAAGAATTCCAGCACGCGCTGACGCAACGTATCAGCCTCCCGAGTTCCCCACTGCGGACTGCGTCATCAACGCGCGCGCAGAGAGCCGCAGCGCGCAGTGCTAGACGTGACGCGGTCGCGAACGTTGCGCTCAACCCCTGAAGAAGACCATCGATTATGGTCGAAACTAGTCGGACCGCTTCCGACTAAAATACTACGCGAGTAAGTCCCGTCACTTTTATATTATAACGGTTAATTTTGCTTGGGTCGAGCGTAGATATGAGCGCCCATAATAGACCCACCGGTGACGAAAAAGTGTCGGCAGAAGTGACGGTGTCTAGTCAAACGGCAGGGACGAAGGCTTTATTTCAGAATTTATTTTTTTACAAACGAAATTAAAGCTATTTGAAAAACGTATATCGTATGGTATACGTGTTCTATTTACTTCAGTTGATATAAAAAAAAAATCATTGATATATGTGTTACGGACGGCGACGGTAATTCAGGAGCTCTGATTGGCCGAGTGGCGAGCGACCCATTGATAGGACCGGCACGGTGTGGGAGATACCGTACCGGACCCGAGAGCTTATGCAGTTCATATAGCGTTATTTCTTTCCTATTTTTAGTAAGGAATAGACAACATTGGGAAATCATTCGTTCTTACAGTCACTTTAGCAATAATACATTACTTGGTTGATAGGTTTGTCACGGTACGAATATGAGTAACATTATAATAAGCTTACATAGAAATAAGATTGTTTTTTGAAAAGTTATGGTAGGCCCCCTGATCATTGATAATAATAGTGTACGTCCGTAAATGGCACACGGCGGTAGTGTCTACATATAAGCCACGATGCTGCATATGAACAGAGTTACCATACTTGTCTCATTGAAGAGACTATGGCAAGGACCGGTTACCTATCAGCAGTCCGAAATTACATTTACACTAACTTAACCTAACCGAACCTAGTCGTGTCTTTGCGATAAACATCCAACATATCCTGAAAGAACAACTGTTTCGTTAAAATTCGGTTTTCGGGGTAATGAAAATTCGAACAACTTATTTCGGACAAAATAAATTCGAGTTTGTGATAGGTTACTGTAAGGGCCTGTGTAACCATACACTCCTGTAGCCTCTTGGATTCAAGGGAATCAGGTGAAGCTGTTGCCTAGTAATGTGACAGTACAGGATGATATAACAGGCTGGTATCTGCAACTTGACAGCATAGCACATATTTTGTGTAGGACTGCACATGATAATAAATATCTGTCGACATTCATGAAGGTGTTTTGGCCGAAGAGTGTCGTATATCGGCGTTTCCGCGGCCGGTTACCTGACATCAGATGCGCCACACGTCGCCGACAAGTGTAGATTACTTATTTAGTTTTTATATTATATCATATGTATGTTAGTCCATAAGTTATACATTACATGGGCCATAAGTTGCCTGACTCAATTAAACAAATAAATAAATAAAACAAACACTCACCAATATGTCCTGTGATCATCTCAACCTTGTTCACACTATGTTCATCGTACAGAATGCTCTTGTGCTTGTTTTCAGTTGCTATTACGACTCCATTTGACGCTGCAATAGATATAATATATATTGTAGCATTTAAACCGATGCAGTCGCAGCAAGTAAACCTTTACACAAGAAAGGGTTGTAACGCTAATAAGCTGTGACCAGAATCAGAAAACTTCAGGTCCACAAATTTATTTGAAGTCGGTTAAAGAGAAGAAAAGGTAACAAAAGAAGGTTGTAACAATAAAAGGTATATAACAAAACAGGTACATTATTACAAAACACTCCCTAACTTGATGAATATTAAGATATTAAGTAGACATCCCAAAAGGGCCGAGTTATACTGAATTACAGATATGTATTCATAGGTACATGATAAAGGCTGTTTAATAAGGCTGTACGAAATTGGCACATGACTTGGATTAGTAATAATTATAAACTTAGTAAAGGAATCAAAATCAGCTCCATACGCTGCCATGATCGAGCTGGGAGTGACGGTCGAACTAAAATAAAATCAGAATGCGAGGCAAAATAACTATGGAACAATTTTTAATTTAAATACGAGTAGCCAGGAACCGGAGAAAGGTGGAAAGGATAAAAAGGTGGGATGACGATGTAAGGAGGTCATACCGTCACAAGTTCACAACTTCAGTGGAATCGCGCGTATGTATAGCGCATTTTGAAAAGAGATAGTTTTAATTCTAATTTCATTAGTTAATTTGTAAGTGTAAGCTCCAGAGGAGTATATCAGCTTCTTGCTTGCAACGCGTTGTTTACGCGCATTTGAGTCGATTCAAACTGCTTTTTGAGCCTTTAAAATGCGTATAAAATACACCGTGTCCATAGGCTCTTACACCATAAACAACAACTTTTGTTCAATGAATTTACTTTATTTAATTTACAACAACAAACTTTTCAGTTTTTGTTGTACTATCTGACAGTTTTTAGAGCTGTATTCTTAGCAACACCTCCTGCATGCAAGCATTCATTAAAATAATTTTGTTGGTGATGATTTAGAGAGCTCTACTTACATTATTTCTATTTTAGTATGAAAATAAAATCAGATAAATCATTCAGTCGTGCCATAAAAGTTATTTATGATGATTAATTCTCTGATGCTGTTACTGTATATGGCCAGATCACCAAGCTGGTATTTTGCAGGTATTTTCAGACAAGGAAATTCCCGGTCAGACAGTAGGAAAGGAGGCACTATGGAAACTGGACTGTAGCCTTGGTAAATGAAATTTTTCAGCTTAATTTTCTCGTCAAGTCCAGTTACCATAGTGCCTCCTTTCGTACAGTCCAACCAAATTCCCCAATGAGTGTGGTCGGTTATTGTTTAGTAAATTTTGTGTATTTCTAAATCAATTTATTTGTTACTATGAAAAGTGCTAAGTCAGCATAACAAACTACAGCGCATTTAAGAAATGCTAGTGGCATGCTTGTAGTAAAGTAATTTCACCCATTTAACTACAGTTTTTAAATTAAAAAAACAAAGAATGTCAATCTAATGAACCTACAAAGTAAGTTATTATAACCTATAAACATAAGAGAATTTTTACCTTTAATACCGACTGAAGTGCCGCCGGCAGCAACGGCAGCTAATGCATATTCAATTTGGACCAATTTACCAGATGGGCTGTAAGGGAAATTAAATAAAATCGTATAATATTCACTGAAAACAATCGGAAAATTTGCACAATCATTTCTATCATATACCAAGGTATTTAAACATGTTACACACTTGAACTAAACTAGAAATGCAATAGGAAAGGTAAATGAAAACTTTCCGCTACAAATAATGCGTAAATAAACTATAATTTACCTAAAAGTCGTAAGAGAAAAACTGTAACGCTCGGACGCCATGATTACAAAGCAAATTGTCAAAATTTTACGCCGTCATGTTGGCATGATTGTCCTAATGTCAAATTAAAATATTGCCATTATAAATAACGCCATGCTATGTTCAAGTGCCAAAGCGCAAAATTACAACGAGATGTTTCCAAACTTTCAATACCAGATTGATTTTCGAGATTTCCTTGTATTTCGAGGTTTCCTTGAATATGTTTGAATTTGATTTCACGCTACCTTATAGATAGTAATGAAATGAAGAATTCCCACAAAAAAGTGAAAATGATCAAATTGTTAGTTTGGCCCTTATAATTAGGACCCATCGATTTTGGCTCGCATTTAAATCCAAAGTCTGTTGTAAATACGGATATAATCCGTGAAACAGCCCTTCTATATAAAACGGTATGTAAACATTAACATACCGTTAACATACAAACATTTACTATTAACATTAGTAGTATTTCGCCACTACCTGACATTGTATCTGGAAGCGCAATAGAACGTAACAAAACTGTAGAAGTTAAACTTTTGTCCTTTCGCGTAACTTTCTTAACAATTCTCGTAATTTTGAGAGCGAAGAAAGTTTTTTAATTAGCCATATTTATTATTGTGAATTCTAATTAGTTTATAAACCCATCCAAAGTAAACAATCAAGTTCGATTTTTCTAGAGCGTACGTATTTGTTTTTAAGAAGTTGGGATATATTTTTTAGTCATGATTACAAATTTTTATTATAAAAACGAAAATCTACCTTGTGCAGCAAAAATAACTTTTCAGGTAACGATACGTAGTTTTCTTTCGTTTCTAGGATCCTGGCAACACTGAGCAAGAGCCAGCCAATAGGAGCACAGATTTCTCGCTCAATAATTTGACTGACTGACATTTTCATCGAAAATATTGGTCTATTTTTAATTTTATTGATCATTACTGAAAACTAGGTGTAAATTAAAAAACGGTATGTTGAATAACATTCGTGGTGTTTCGCCTCTACCTGACACTGTATGTGGAAGCGCAATAGACCGTAACAAAGCTGAAAAACCGTTTCTAAACAACGCAAGTCAGAATAAAGTTTACTCAAAGATGAATGGGAAAAAATCAGACAAGAACGGCAACGACGTGACTAACTCAGAATGTAAGGGGCGGAAAACTTTTGCTTTTTGGACTTTAGTATGTTTACTTTTTATTCTGGCAGTTGGGAATCTATTTTTGACCTTTACTATTTTGGCGGTATTACGACTTGGGCAAGGTAAGACAATAAACAAAAAATATTTTGCTGTTATCAATTTTTGTTTTGTGAATAACTACGTGGATAAAAATACATTTATACGTAGTTACTCACACTACAAAAATTTTACAATAGTATATATTAGTAAATTTTTTTAATTTTATTTTTTAAGACACTAGTAAAGTACATTTTAGTAATAATAGTACACGTACAGCCTGTAGTTAAATTAGACTCATTAATAAATTTATGAATTGTTCAGTTTTTATGTTACCTACTTTTATATGCAAATGTTTTAAACTCTAGGCTGGCTGCAAATGCTTGCATAAATTGAAATGTACAATTTTTACACAGTCTTGTTATATATTTGGACCAACGCAAATACCTTTCAATAACTGTCAGTTTGTCTTTTCGTAACAATTTTAATGAACCTAAACCCGTCATAGGGATAGCATACAACTTGGGAAAGCTCACTCTGCTAAATGACACCACACATATCTCCTGAGAAGTGTGACTACAAAGCAAGGGTCTTGAGCATTCAAAAGCCCTGATATCTGCGTACAGTGCCAAACATTGTACAGAAGTTCTGTCGTTAGACAGGAATGGTGTGAGAATGCTCCCTAGAGCCTTAACAGGGCATTGTGGCTTGAACAAGCCACAATTTATTAGAATATTGTACCGCAGTGATGAGGGGATGCATAGGCCCTGAATGATGCCACCATAATAATAATAATAATAAAAAACTGTTAATAACTGCTAAATTATTTCAATAACCACACCCTGATGTTGATGGAATCGTTGCGGAAAACAACGGAGCCATATCCACATAAAACTTAACCTAAGTTCAGTTTGTAATTAATATAAGTTGACATTTTAACTGTTTGCTTATATTTCAACAGGCATGGAAAGTATAGAATTCCTCCCCGAGCACAACGCAATAAAGTTCTATGGTGAGATAGGCTTGGAGCAGGTGCACAAGCGCGATGGCCTACTGGAGAGCTTTAGAGATGAGCCTATGAGCATCAGCAGTGAGAACGGCTCTGTGCTTGTTAACCTTCAGACTAGGTATGTCATTTTTTTTATGATTCGCAAACAATGGTTTGAACAAGTCGTACACCTCATAGTAAGCGACACACCTACCCATAACGATCTAAGGAGACATAAGTTGACAAGTCCCATGTGTATTCTTCAAAACCAGAATGCAGTAACCCCACATAACTGCTTGGCGGCAGAAATAGGTAAAGTGGAATGAAACTCATCATAAGAGCGTTATTATTAGGGTGACTATATAAGGAGCCTATTCGGCTCATCATCACTGCGACCATGAATGGTGCTATTGTGATCACTACTAATTATAGTTCGGAGCCATGGCCAACAGTATTAAAGAACTGAAGGAATTTCCTGGGTCTGATAGTTTTTATGTCCTCTGGACCTTCGTACGCCCGTTGGAGGGCAGCACTGGATATGGAAATGCACAGGAATTTCATCAGCCTTGTGGCACAATCTGCTAAAGAGCATTACTAATAGTACTTAAGTATAACAATTTTTTTTTAATAATATTAAGTGACTGGACGAACAAGTCGTGCGCCTGATGGTAAGCTACACGCCTGTCCATTACAGTTGCAGTGCTACTCAGAGCTTTAAATCGCAAAGATCTGAGGGGCACTGTCACTGCTCTCGTCACCCTAAGACAAGTTGACAAGTCCCATGTGCCTGTAATTTCATCAGCACCCTTACCTTTCAAGACCGGAACACAGTAATGCTGACATTACTGCTTGGCGGCAGAAATAGTTAAGGTGGCAGTATTTCCCTGGACGAATTCTTTCACAAGGAGTTCTACTGGTAGTTAAATTTTAAGCAATTTTAGACAAAGATAGCTGAAACACGAATCTATGTGAAAAACTAGACCTTGCCTTAGCAGAAGTGTTTATATGTTATTTTTCAGGCTATCCCGTTATGACACTAAGTTAGTAGTAAACACATCTGGTGTCTTCATCCGAGGCGTGAGCGCTTTGGAACTGACGGATCCTGACTCTGGAAATACTATCTTCAGTACCAGTTTGAAGGAAATGACTTTACCAGACGGAGTTAACAATTTACATGCTAAGGTATGCCAATAATTAGTTATAGGAATGTATAGAAATAGTAATAGAATGTATAGAAAACGTAAGAATTGCAGACACCAGCCCGATATATACGGCAGGGTTTCTTAAGCTATGGTCCATGGACCTCTAAGGGGTCCGTGTAATGAACGCCGAGGGTCCGTGGCGAGCCTATCTAACACAATGGAACAGCAGCCGTCACCCTATTTATTCATAATATGTAACTAAGTAAAGTTTAATTGCAAGCAATATAAGCTAATAAAAGCTAACTTTGCTTTTTTATCTTTTTGGAATGCGTCTGTGGGCTCCTTGGCATTTTGAGAGGGTTCCATGACTAGAAAAAGGTTAAAAAACCCAGCCATATGGTTTATGAACTAACATCGGATTAGATAAGATACGCATGGAGTGAATAATACCTCCCTCTGAAATCGTGTAATTTTATGTATACTTTAGAGTAGATATAGCGCCATTGTTGGCTGCGGCGTCTACTGGTTTTTCCCCCAGGCGGCGAAAGTTTGTTAGTTAGAAATTTGTACAAACTATATCATCAATCCACTGCTGGGCATGGGTCACCTCTCCGGCGAGAGATTAGGCCAAATTCCCGTCACGCTGGCCCAATGCAGGTTGATGGGAACTTTCTTCGACGTGCAGGTCCATCACGCTGTTTTTTTCTCTTATTTTTTTTCATTAAAATTAATTTACCTTCCCCTATTATATAATGATATTGACTCATAGTTTTTCAAATTTTATAATTGTTTTAGGCTCTCATTGCATTTAAGGGCTTAAAGGAGTGCCTAAGATATTAGGCACAAGGAACTGACTGAAAAACAGCAATAAAATAAAATATATTTTAAATGATAAATGTGTACAAATGTTTATTTAAAGAGCAACCCCTAGAGTTTCTTGCTCATTCTTCTCAGGGAAACTGTCTTACGAATGAGCAGTACAGTTTAACCAATTTGACGATTTCAAGTTTAATAATGCTTACCTATGAAATAGAGATTATTTGTATATGTATTAATAATTATATTAATAAAAAAAACAAACTAGTGGAGTAAATTCATTAATAAAATAATTGAATATCAATCCAATAAAAATTTAAATACAATGAATAGCGACATCTCAAGCCGGGGCTGGTAGCTGTAAAGTAACCTAACTGGGTGACGAAATACTTTCATAGATTTCTCATAGATAGTACTACGGCTAAAAAGTCGTTGAAATAACCAAATACAAAAATTCGACAACAAGCAATTCGTGAGGTCCGCGGGTACGTTCCGTGGCTTAGTTGGCGTAGCGCCACGGTTTGCTAGAAGACATCGGTTCGAAGGAATTTTTTCTAAGTGTTCGATCTTTGTATTAATAACATCGAGTATATAATCAGAAATAGAGACGAAATAAGGGCCATATATTCCTGGTAACACATTAGCGATACAGCTCTTATAAATATCAACTCTCGTTTGCACTGAAATATAGACAGGCCAACTACTGACCTGTGTGTACGTCTCCGTATATTCCAAAAAATATTCAGTATTTATTGTAATTAATATCTCTAACAATGCCGTGCTGTTCTATTCGGTGGTGTGGGAAAAACAGTAAAACATTTAATTACAAAACAAACGGAATCACATTTCATCGGTAATTAAATATTAAATATGTAATTTTGCAATTTTCACCCTAATGGACGAAAATAGCAAAGCTCAAGTTAACTGGTCGATTTGAAGTGAAACAGTTGACGACACCCGTCAATTGTTTCGAACTCGGGCTAGCCAATCGGAGCGCAGTTGTCACCGTAATGATATGGCAGAATAGTTTTCAAACAAATTAAATGACATTTCGTCTCTATTTCTGGTTCTATACTCGATGATTAATAATTATGAGTCATAATTATTAATCATCGATTCAAATAGATAAAAATCAAATTACTCCACGAGTTTGTCATAATTTATGACAAACTCGTGGAGTAATTTGATTTTTATTGAATTCAATAAAAATTTTAATTCATTTGAATTGTCAATTTTTGTAAGTTCATACCATGTTCATGCTTACATACACTGTATTTAGAACTATGTTTATGAAAAATTCAAAAAGGAGACATATTTTAATCCATAATAGATAATTAAATCCGGCTATTCTTGTTTAAAATGTATATAAATAAAAATTGATCTTGATACTAGTAGGTCAAATGTCAAAATAAAAATAAAGAAGGCAACAACGCAATTAGTAATAATTAGAGTGTCGTAACATTCACAATTTAGTAATTTTTGGGAAAATTTTGGGTTCTTTCACAATCTATCGATAAAACTATCGACAACAACGACATAACTATTTTAAATTATACGAAAACTGGCAACCCCACAAATGTCATTTTACTCCGTCTTCAAAAAAGACAGACTATAATTAGCCAATTTATTCCGCAGCAAACGTCAACGAAACGCATAACGTCTCCAGTAGACTCCGACCTGACACTTCGTTCAGACTCATCAGCCTATCTCCGGGGTGCAGAAGGCACGCACATGGAGGCCAAAGACCTTAACTGGACAGCGGACCAAGATATATACCTCAAATCGATCAACGGCTCCATTATACTGAGTGGCAAAGAAGGCGTTTACATAGATGTTAGATATTTGCCAATTGTCAAACCGGTGAACAAGACCGATAAGTACAGTCAGGCAACGGGGCATTTTAAAGTATGCGTTTGTATGCCACAGGGAAAGCTGTTCAGGGTAGCAGTGCCTAATGGACAAAAAGTCAGCTGCTCGCATGTTAATGTTACGGGGGATTTGAATCCTTGTGCTGCATAAGTTAAGAACAATATCCCTTAATGGCTTTCGGAATATTTGACCATATTGGTTATATGTCTTTAACATAAACCTTAAGCCGAATTTACATTTGTCTGACGTGACGCGTCAAAACGGTATCGGTTTCATACACACAACCCAAGCCGTCACGTCAGATTGTGACACACTAATATAAATTTTACCATCTGACGTGCTACATCACGACACAAATGTAAACCCGGCTTAACTCAAGAAGACTGCTTATTTCCATCTACAAATCGTAACTATGATAATCTCCGTACAGAGTATTAAAAAACCGACCTCAAAAGTTGTTCACCCCCTAGTTTGCCACCCTTAGAGGTGGAATATTTTCTTCAAATTTGAATGGGACCACCACTGAGGTACCCTCTTTCCAACAAAAAAAGAATCATCAATATCGTGTAACACAGTCGTTCGTTTTGTTCACGACTTTTTTTACTTTACGACGACAGGCTGTCGTGATAATGGGAAGAGCTGGAATGACAGTCGTCTGACGATATTTTAATGTCACGATAAAAATGTGACGACAGATAATCGTAGCTTCAAACGATTCTCTCGTGCAAGCGACAAGGCGGCTGCCGTGAACTGTCGGTAAAATAAACGTCCACGACACAGTCACGACAGATAGTCGTAATATGTAATATAGACTAGACGGTCGCGTCTAATGTTTGCATTACATTGCATTTTATCAAGCACTTATATAGAGAATCTATTATAAGTGCTCATTGACTTACAATTATATGGACGTCGGGTCCGCGCTAAAAAGTGTCTGAACTTAAAGGGCGTTAAAATCGTATACAGAGCGTCATTCACGCTTTAGTCTTCGTTTGTTCGGCTGACAGCGAAGCAAGCAAAATTAGACAGTACTGCGATGACATTACAATTTAAATTCAACGTTTTAGCTTTTTCATATTCCTTTACATGTCACTACGTTTAAATAGGTTGACTTGGGACATTTTTTTCGTGGTTTTTTTATTAGACCCGTCGTCCATTTATTTGTAAGTCAATGTAAGTGCTTGATAAAATATCTATTTCTCAAATTTGTTTAGTAATACTTCGAAATGATAATGTCAATGTTATGATCGCGGGAAAGTCAGAGAAGAGGCTATTTCATTTTCCTGAATAACATTTCAAATTAAATGTTAAATTTCATGGTCTTCATTTTCTTTAAGATGCTATGTTATTTAGAAGAAAACAATCCTTATGATTGAAGCTTTCGATCAGTGTAGTAAAATTACAGGTGTATTTTTTTTCACATTCGGCGGGTTCGATTCCCGATTCAGTCTTCTTTCTGTAAAATTTTCTATCTACGGTATTTAAGGTACTTTCCTTTAGTGTGGCATAGCCGTGGGACAAACTGTGTATGTATATAAAACCCGCGAAGTTATTATTTTACTAACAATCCTGTATGCAATAATATAATCTAGTTGTAAGCTTTCTAGTCAATTCTAGTCCTGTTTTTAGAACATATACTGACATATACCGACTACCTCTCTGGCCGAACGGTTACCACGCCACGCAGAGGTTCCAGGTACGATTCCTGGGCCAGGAGAAATTTTGTATGGCCTATATTTATTTCTCTCGGGAGTTTGGGTGTAATTTGTGGTTGTCTATGTGTGTCCATGACACGCGCGACACAGGGTTTCCCTAGTGCGGGGCTATGCCGAGTGTGTGCGTTATTATTATTATTATATACGTAACATTACTATTTAAAAAGCTAGACTGTTCATTCGTTTATGGCAATTTTATCCAACCTAGATTGGATGCCAAATTTACCATGTATTATGTAATAATGACAGACGAGATTTTGGGAGTATGCTCATGGGATACCCGGAACCAGGGCTGTTGCTGACGCAGAATTTTCGACCTTAACGCCAGCGGATGCTGATTTTATGTATTATAATCTAAGCACAGAGTACTAAAAAACAGACCTCAAAAGTTCGTGAAATTACATCTATTTGCCAAGTTTTATTGACAGCGGTTACCGGAAAGTGCTCGAAACTGAACTTAGAGGTCATTGACTTACAAATAAATGGACGACCGGGTCTAATACAAAAACCACGAAAAAAATGTCCCAAGTCAACCTATTCGAAATTTAAATTGTAATGTCATCGCAGTATCGCGCTGTCAGTAGAACAAATGAAGACTAAAGCGGAGTTTGGCGCTCTGTATACGATTTTAGCGCCTTACAAGTGCGGACACTTTTTAGCGCGGACCCGACGTCCGTATAATTGTAAGTCAATGTTAGAGGTGGAATGTTTTCTTCAAATTTAAATGGGAGCACTACTAAGTAATATAATATTATTCCAATAGATTTTGTAACATTTATTAACAAAATATTAAATCTGCATGAAAACAATCAGTATGCAGCTTAATAGTCCTGGAATTTTATCAAAGTTACATTGTTGCTGTTGTTATCCAGCTGAGCAGCTTTTTCGGCTTACAATCAATACAACATACTGTTTAATAAGCTCTCAATACATAATTAAATTTTTATTGAATTGATATTCAATTATTTTTTGTGACATTACTCCACTAGTTTGTTATAATTATTAATACAAATTAATTATATAATATAATAATTTCAAAAAATATATAATAATTTCACAAAAAATAATTGAATATCAATTCAATAAAAATTTAATTAATACAGTGAATAGCGACATCTCCCGCCAGGACTGGTAGCTGTAAAGGTACTAACTGGGTGATAAATCTGTAATAGATTTCTCATAGATGGCGCTACGACTAAAAAGTCGTTGAAAGACCAAGTACAAAGACACGACACAAGCACATAGAAAAATTCGTGAGGTCCGTTGGTTCGTTCCGTGGCTTAGTTGGTATAGCGTCTGGCACGGTATGCAAGAAGACGTCGGTTCGAATCCGACCTGATCGAAGGAATTTTTTCTGAGTGTTCGATCTTTGTATTAATAATTATAACTCTCAATATATATTTATAATTTAGTGCATTTTTAACGGAATTGCATTGCGTATAGTCATATAGTAGTTTTTATTTAATAGTAAATATTTACGTAGAAAATGTGATTTGTCTGTACACGTATTATAGGCCTAATGATGTATCCGAAGTACATATTATTAAAATAATTATAATAATAAAACAATATAATAATTTAATTGTTCTTTATTTCCCACGTTTATATAAATATGTCTCACCTACTTAACCTTGAAAGTCATTACCTCGACGTACAATACACCGAAGTCTTTAGCTCGAATGTTCGTTTTGTCGAAATTGTATGAATCTATGTCTTCGTGACCCCTTTTTGACGATGCAATATAAACAATGCCACCGCAACGAGAGTGATTCTCCAAAAAAAAAACCAGAAAATTTTGTTCTTCCATTTATTTAATAATAATAAAAATATACACAACCTTTTCCAATACATCAATTGAAAATCCAATGTTTTGCTGAGGGACCAACATAACTTGGCTTACACATTGGTACATACACTGGATATCAGCTCGCTATACAACCTATTAAAATTTCAAATTGAAAGTAGACCTTGACGTATTTTCCACAAGGTTGTAATTTATGAAAGTACGGACGTACATATCGTAGCACTCACAAACTGCCGTTACATACATCTTTGTCGTAAAAACATACGGGTAATTTTCAGGTTAGTTTTCTCCACCTGATTTCGCTGGCAATTTTTATTGTTTAAGTCTTCGAGTATTATACTGAATTATTAAATAATATTTCAACGGCCAACACTCGAATATTAAATAATACTTCATGATATACTTGTTCAATAATTATTTAAATAACTTCTACCGAAATTAGGTAGAGAAAACAAACCAATATTTATTTTTGGAAAATAAGCGGAACAACTTTTTTTTTTTTCAAAAATTCATTAAAGTTTTTACGACAACGTGCAAAGGTCTCACTTCATCATACTGCATTTGCTAGAGATGAGGCATATCGATAAAAAGTTTTCGATAATTTAATAAAAAATTAAAAGTGTGAGTAGTAGAGTTTAACCAAGTAACGATTTAAAGTGCAATTTACTTACTTAATTTGATATTTTAAATTTCACCCTATTTCGTGTTGAAGTCATGTTGATCGTCAGCCCTTCTCAGTCGCCATTGTATTTAATTATATAACACTACTAGCACTAAACATATTTAAAATTACGTTAAAGTAAAAAACGTTTTATTTCAAAATAATTGAAATTTCAAGAAACAGACTGGTGTTAAGTAGGATTATTGTTCGTAAATACGAGCAGCTTTTATCTAAAAGTGAGATTCTAATTAAAAATAAATTACATCCCAAACAAATCGATGTAATGATTCATCGAAATGCATATTTTCGAATTTCGTAAAGCTGAAAAAAAAATGTTAACGAAAGCTGCACATAACAACGAATACAAATACTATTTAATTGAGATGAGACTATTTTAAGATAACAATAGGCAAGTTACAAACAAGTTTTATTAATGCCTTTTTCTGGTACACAGTTATGGTACATGTCACAAACTTGTATGCTGTTGAAAGCAGATAAGTTATAAACGTGTAGTAAGTACGTTTGAAATTTAATGAAGTGACTCCTCCCATGATACTAAAAAAATTTCCCTATCAAACCCATAGGCAATACGCAGAAATTTTTCAGCCCGCAAACGGCTTATTACAAAATTTAGTATCAACATTCTCTAAAAAACTGTCATATCATAACACAGAAAGTTCGATTGATTGAATATTGGTTAATATAATCAATACTCCTCAAAAACTCGTACATTTCATAATAAACATTGCAGATTAACGTAAGTGTTGAAGTCACAGCGGCTTCATGAATGTCAATTTAAAACGTGTTTTTAACCGACTTCAAAAAGGATAATTAATTCGACTGCATTTTTTTGTGTGTACGTTACAGTGGCAAAAAGCCGGAAACACTTACTGTAACAAAAACTACTTTTCCCGGTAAAAAGGCGAACTGGCGACACTTAAGACCGACTTGATTCGGTGATTGGCTGAGATCCACCGGGAAGCTACAATACTCCGTATTATCAAGAACAAGTTACTACACGATTATCATTGAATATAAGTTTTTTATGCGTGCTGTCTAGTACAGTGTAGTGTGTCGCGTAGTTTAAGTTGCGTAGTTTGCGGTTTCATATAAAAGTACCGTTTGTTTCACACGACGACGCAAAATGAGTTACCTGCCGACTCACGGGCGTAATGACGATTGACTTTCGGTCGCATCGTGTGACGGTCTGGCGCGGGTGAAGATAGGAGTGTGGGAAGGGGTCACTTAGGTATAAGGTGCGCGTGAGTATAGATGTTTCTTAAAATGTTCGATACGGAGATTAAAGTATAAATAATTGAATAACTTACTTGATTGTTATTATTAGTCTTTCCACTAGATTGATGGCTTGTCTCATATACGTTTAACTAGGCTTTATCATTCTTAAAAATTGTATGAAAAGCTGCCCACACTTAAATCGTATCATATTGAGTGGATGTACCCAGCTTCTTTTTCTTTTTCTAATATCGTCTTCAAATGATTCATAAAACCATACTCTTTTCAATGGAACCATTACACTATTACGATCAAACCTCCCGTACTGAATATAATACGTTCGTCTGGCGCTTCAACCGAATTTCAGTCGAGCGCAAACTGCTCACAAAATTACGCTCGTCTGGTTTCACCCTAATACGTGGTAGACTTGTGCCTGATCGGTCCTTAGAGGAAGCGATCCTAGTTAGTTCAATCGGTCAACTGAACTAGGTCGGTCTTCTAGTTCGTTTAGATCATCTAGTTCCTTAGTTCGTCTTGTCCTTGTTCGGACATTGAAAGAACGCTCCAAACTAGTAATTTTATTCACATGAACTACTTATTTCCACCTCTAAAGGTGACAAATTGAATTTTACCCACTTTCTGTAGACCGATTCCAATAAAACTTGGCAAATAGATGCAATTCCACAAACTTTTGAGGTCAGTGTTTTAAGACAGTTTTTTAGCGTGTGAGCGATATATGGGTTCAACAGGGTTCTTGAGTATCAACATCATGGGTACAATTACACTATGAAATTTGAAACGGTGTAATTCTACCCCTCCTTTTTAACACCCGATTAGCAGTGTCTCCGTAATGCCAGAGTCTGTATAATTAGCAAATTGCTCAGGACGTCATCAGCTCCGGTGCGTATTGATGTTCTTTCATCTTTAAAGGGTTTGTCTAGCGGACTTTTAAAGAGCACATGGTGTCAAAATAAAATGCTATAGTCGAACTTTTAATTAGAGATAGTAAGCTTGACGATGATAGCTAGTTTTTGATAAAATAAAATAGTTTCCAACCGACTTCAAAAAGAAAGGAGGAGGTTCCCAATTAGACTGTATTTTTTTTTGTGTCTGAATCGATTTTGATGATTCTTTTTTTGTTGGAAAGACTCTGGCAAACTAGGGGATGCATCCGCTTTCGCGTACCTTCCGGTAACCGATTTCAATAAAACTTGGCAAATAGATGTAATTCCACGAACTTTTGAGGTCATTTTTTTTATAAAAAAAAGTTATAATATCTTGGAAGGAAGGTCGGGGGACAGACTACTTAATATCTACGCTATAATAGCCTACTAAATCTGACCAATGACACCAGGCACTCAATACGAGGAAAAAGAAACCTAAGAACGCGCTCAGAGAGGTGAAAATAACGTTGCCCGTCGTGTGCAGCCATGTGGAATCAAATGCGCTAGGATTGTAATGTAAATGAAAGGTTTGTCTGAGCGCTTTTATTATTAAAAAAATAAGTATCATTTGACCTCCAATCTCACCTGATAGAAAGCGATAATGAGGTTGACGATGAAGCATGCTCACCTAAACAATGCCTATTCACGGATTGTTCGCCAAATAAATGTGGACGCATAAGCAGTAACATAGGGGAGTGGAACCCCTGATAAGTTTAGTCCCTCGATGATGAAAAGGCGGAATTAAATATAATGCAATTCATCGCATGCTTTCCGTGATACACCTGTAAAATAGATAGAATATTGTGTATAATTTCCCACAGTGATCCCTAGTGGGTTCCAGTGGGCGCCAAAGAATCCTAGCAAATGGGTTGATTTGTCCAGGGGCTGCTACAGCATTTGAAAATTTTTCAATTATTTTTGTGGTAATAGGCGTTGAAATTTTTTTATCTTGCCTAAATAATAAGACAAAAAGTTTGTAGTAGATAGAACACTGACAAGCAGGCAACTTTACAACGGTATCCAAGGCTCAGCAGATTCATTTCTACTAAATCCGAGCTACTTATAAAAAGTTAGCATCATAGTCGAAAATCTTTCAAGTTTCTTTTCGACTGATTCTATCTCAGCGCGTTCATTGAGAACTGTACCTAACACGTCATTGTACAGTAAACATGGCAATATTTTTTTCAAAATGACATTAGCAACTGTCAAGCGGTTCTAATTAAAAATCCGACTATAGTAACTTCCCATCGAGTATACAACCAGAAATAGAGACAAAATAAGGGCCACCCATCCCTGACAACTGATCAGGCAAATGGGCCTTATATCACTTTTAGATATCAACTCTCGTTTGCCCTGAAATCACAAATTAGAAAGCTGAAATATTACAGCGCCAAGAACTGACATGTGTGTACGTCTCCGTATATTCCAAAAATATTCTGTATTTATTATAATGAAGATAATATCTCTAACAATGGGGGCGTTCCATTCAGTGGTGTGGCAAAAACAGCAAAACATCTAATTACAATACAAAAGGAATCATATTTCATCGGTAAAATTGACGACAGCCGTCAATTGTTTCGAATTCGGACTGGCCAAACGGAGCGCGGTTGTCACCGTAATGATTTGGCAGAATAGTTTTCAAACAAATTAAATGACATTTCGTCTCTATTTCTGGTTATATACTGGATGTAACTTCCAGCCTTTATAATGCTCTCATTTTCTAGTCATTAAAACTTTAAGTATACAGGGTGTTTTGAATTGTATTTAATTTTTTTAGAAAATGTTACAAAGCAGGAATGGAAAAAATATGGATAATAAAAACAAAGATCCTTAAAGTATGCTGATGGCGCTGGTTGGAATCCAGCCGAATAGAAGGAATTTTTCTTAGTGTCCGATCTTTGTATTAATAATATATATTTTTAATTTAAAAAAAATGCAACAAAATTATAATAACTTTAGTTGTTTTTGGCACACTCAACTTTATAATGTAATAATATCTGAATACCAAATAAAAACCAACTTTAACGCAAGTCATTTAAGTTCAATTGTTTTCAGGCTAATTTCAGTTTCAATTGACAGTGCACGTTAATTTTAATGTCCGTGATGTTGATTTTTGGCGTTAAGTTACAATCGAAAGTGAATCTTAAATTCGAAGATTAAAAAAAAAAAATATTGAGATTTTTATGACCGAATGAGATCTAGTGTTGATTGTCTTAGTTACAAAAACCTTTTTTAAATGCAAGTATTACAGCATACTTTACAATTTGTTTTATGTAAGAGAATTTGTTTTATATCGTTTACTTAGAAAAATCAACTTTAACTCAAGTAGTTTAAGAATTTTTACATTGATTATGTTATTAACAAATTTAAGGTAAAGAATATGAATGGGTATGTGCAGGCGGTGTTGGGTGTTCATGTGTATGTGGTTGAATGCGTGTGTGTGGGGACGTCTGTGTGTGTGTGGATTTATCTGTTTGTGACTACACAAATGTAGGCGTGTGTATGTCTGAGCGAGAATATATTGTTAATCTTCTTCTTACCGTGTCGACTCTGACGATTAGCTACTGACACAGCATTATCAGGGGTGCATGGAAGGAGCCCCCCGCGTGGTACATCGCTATAACTGTGGCTCTAGTGAAAAGGGATACAAGTAAAAAAATCCATTTTTACAAGGAAAGGCGAAGAACACATAACGCTTAAACTCATATTAAGTTTGAACTGTCTTTCGCGTCTCCTTGTAAAGGCTTTTTTCACTTGTACCCCTTTTGCACTAGAGCCACAGATTATTATGCGCCGGCGCACCTTGGGCAACGGTCTGTGGATGGCAAGTCGATAACGCACAGACTGGCCGATCCACCCACCACGACTCAAAGGCATATTATTAATAATAATGTATTTTTCGCAATATTAACACAATGTTTGCACCCTATATACATAAATGAACACCAGTTTAATTACATATTATACAGTAAGAGAGTTTCCTTCAGACGGTGCCCGTGTTTGTATCACCGTTCACTATTTGATAGATTATCAGGTATTCTGGGTACGCCTGGAACAAACATAGAAAGATTTAAGAACCAAAAACAAAAATCTGCAACATGCACACAGAAAAATTCGTAAGGTATATCAATCCATTTATACAGAAGTCCCACTGCGGGTTAGGGAATTCACAAGTTTCCTGAGGACTGTGAACCTTCACTGAAGAAGCTCACGATAAATGACAAACATCGAGTATATAACCAGAAATAGAGGCGAAATGCCATTTAATTTGTTTGAAAACTATTCTGCCAAATCACCACGGTGACAACTGCGCTCCGATTGGCCAGCCCGGATTCGAAACAATTGACGGGTGTCGTCATTTGTTTCACGTCAAATCGACCAGTTAACTTGAGCTTTTCTATAATGGACGACAATTGCAAAATTACATATTTAATATTAAATTATCGATGAAATTTGATTCAGTTTGTTTTGTAATTAGATGTCTTGCTGTTTTTCCCCACACCACCGAATGGAACAGCACGCCATTGTTAGAGATATTATCTTTATTACAATAAATACAGAATATTTTTGGAATGTACGGAGACATACACAGTTGTTGGCCTGTCTTTATTTCAGTGCAAACGAGAGTTTATATTTATAAGTGATGTATCACTGATGAGTTACCAGGAACGTATGGGCCATATTTCGTCTCTATTTCTGGTTATATACGCGATGATTACAAACTAAATTTCGCACATAAAAAACACGGTCTCTACTTAAGAGGCGGTAGATCAAGGCATTAAGGGTCGTATTCTAGAACTACTCAATGCTCAAGTCAGGATTTGAGCAGACTTGAGTATGATTTCAAGCACTGGAAATACGACCCTAATGGCAAGGACTTGAGTATGATTTTCAGTGCTCACTGCAATACTCAAGTCCTGACTCGAGTATTGAGTAGAGTTCTGTAATACGACCCTAAGAGACTTTCACAACGAGCTCTACTGCCATACACGCCAATGAAAAACCCTCTTCCGACATATGAGTTTAAATGAGTACATATAATAGGTAGTAGTAGAGCTCTTACCTATTTCTAATGGGTTCCGCTTTCCGGTTTTGAAGGGTAAGGTGCTGGTGAAATTACAGGCACATGGGACTTGTCAACTTATGTGTCAGGGTGACCGGCGCAATGGAGATCTTTGCGATGTAAAAGCTCCGAGTGGCACTACGACTGTAACAAAACGCCTTACCTGCTCCCCCCGGTAGACCACGTACTCCGGGTAGCAGAGGCCCCCGTGCGTGGGCCGGCCGGCCACGCTGTGGTGTCCGGGCGGCGCGTGCGCCATCTTCATCGCCGACGTCAGCTGGAAGGCGCGCCCCAGCGTCACGCGGCACAGCAGCATTTGTCTGCAACGTTCGTTATACAGGGTGCTCAAAAAAGTACGATGCAAAGTTTATGAGATAACTCTGCCCAGAAACCAACTTGCGTACTGTTGGGTAATTTCTTACAAAACTTACTTCTTTAAAAACATATTGTTCTACGTTTAGAAATATCTTTTGAATATAATAATAGCTTTTAGCGTGAATTATAAAATAAATTTGTGTAGCTAAGAGTGTTTACACGGTCACTGTCAGTCGCCTATAAATCCCAAGTGTAGCGACGCATTATTGTCGAACGCACTTACCTATGACAAGTGTAACAACTTTTGTCTTTATGCGTGGGGCATCCAGACCCCCCTCCGAACCCGTACACGTACTGGTTGCTTTTGGACGAATGTTCAGCGAAGTAGATGCCTGCACCAAACATTCCTCCTGCGAATAGAAGTACAAAATATTGATTAACATTGTTTGGGTCAATTGACCCCTCTAAGTCCCAATTGAACCATTTGCACATGACGATGTAGAACTATCCGTGGACCGATGGTCTCTCGTTGACAATACGTCTCCATCGCACCTTCGTGGACCGATGGTCTCTCGTTGACAATACGTCTCCATCGCACACCAAGCTTTTGAGATATTGGTAACGCTGTCCTCTTTACCCTTTATTTGACTGTTGACCGGCCACATCCCAGTTGATTTCACAGGTCTCTAAACTTTTACATATTCATTGATACTTTCTAATTTTTATATTAATACATTCTAATTGACTCTTCGAGTTCCATGCAACTCATTTGTTTCAATCATTGACTTACAATTATATGGACGTCGGGTCCGCGCTAAAAAGTATCCGAACTTATAGGGCGTTAAAATCGTATACAGAGCGTCATTCACGCTTTAGTCTTCGTTTGTTCGACTGACAGCGAAGCAAACAAAATAAGACAGTACTGCGATGACATTACAATTTAAATTCAACGTTTTAGCTTTTTCATATTCCTTTACATGTCACTACGTTTAAATAGGTTGACTTGGGACATTTTTTTCGTGATTTTTGTATTAGACCCGTCGTCCATTTATTTGTAAGTCAATGGTTTCAATTGACCCCTTACATCCCAAACTGACCCCACAAGTTCCAATTGACCTCGCGCGTCCCAATTGACCCCTCACATAACAATTTGCCCCTCCAATTGATCCCTCGCGTACTAATTGACCTCTATAGTCCCAATTGACCCCTTATTCTTTTTCGTCTTTATACGCCAATTTAACTGTTAAGTCTCAATAGACCACTAACTCACCAATATACGCATGCCGTTCATCAAACCCCTTCTGCACAATGGCGTTGATGAAAGGCGAGCCATGGAACAACATCCTCTCGTTGGCGGAGCCGCCTTCCTCGCAGACCTCGCGTCTGCGATGTTGGTAGCGCTCCCAGACGCGGCCGTTTACAATTTTTTGGATCTATTAAAAAAAATAACTAGAATTATTGAAATCCGTCGACGACGTCCTAAAAAGGTCAGGTGAAGACCACTGTCCCGTTCTCCGTCCGAAACACAGAGCAATAAATACAGTAGAAGTGGTTAGTTAGCGTCGTACGCGTGCCAACTATAGGTCTCGAAACATCTATCTGAGCTCAGTCCGCCATTTTCGCTTTGTATGGTATGGTTGGTTGCGTCATTCTTTCGTGCAAATTCTCTAAAATCAAAAGTTTTGGAGGGCAAAAATGATAGCTGCATCAAAAATATTATCCGTGGTGGTATTTCATATCATCAAAAGTCTTATTAGTCTTTAATAAAGTTTCAATTTTCGGTTTATCGAAAGAATTTTTTCGTTAAAGTAAAGCTGCAATATGGGCGCTTTTTGTTTGGAGAACTAAATTAATAGCTCCAATTCGTCGTCGTTTAGTAATGAACCGCTAGATGGCAGCATGTAAATTGAAATTTCAATGTAATGTCAAAAATGTCGTAACTTGGTAATAATAGGTATTGATGGTAATGAACTTTCAAACATTTGTCAACAGGATAAAGTTCAAATTATATTAACAATCCAGAATTTATTTCTTTTTAAATTTGAAACTACGACCAATCAATATGAAGATTTTGTAGTGTTTCAAATTAAAAATTTGCTTTGGGTTTTTTGATTTGGCTTTGGCGACATCGGTTCTGCTACACTCGATCTCCGTCCGAAACAATTACTGTCAAATAAGTAATATTCGACAAAATTAATAGATAAGTATCCAGTATGAAGCTTCATTCGCATCACGCGTCTTTTCATTTGGTCAAGTATTGCTTATTTGACAGTCATTGTTTCGGACGGAGATCGAGAATAGCCCCCCAGGTAGGAAATTCGACGTGTCTGCTACAGAAAAGATGAGAATGGTCTTGTATACGACAAGAACTTTGCCGGATCTAGCCACGAAAACATGTCGTGTCTGTTGCAGACGAGAAAATGATAAATGCTTTCGGACAGACGTGTGTAGGGCAAAATGTGTCAGTGCATTACGAATCTTCCAGGTAGCTGTCGTTTTACTACCGACTGTGGGAAGAAATATGTTGACTACTAAGCAACACCCGTCCACGAGCATAAACGTTCGTTCGTCGTGTCGGAGGTGGACAAGATTTTTTTTGTCCGGCGCCGAGGCAGTGTACACAGTTCGATTGTAGAAACGACACGAATTCTTGCATAGACCCGGCGACTTTTCTTAGCGTGGACAGGCACTTCCTTTGGTTTTTTTTCACGCGTGGTCCGAAACAAACACTGTTAAATAAGTAATACTTAAATTCTTTTGCGTTTGTTTGGCTTGCGTATGAGTTTGTTGTCATGGATACGGCGCACAACTTGTTGGTCCCGTCACTTGATTTTATATTTAAAAAAAATATTATGAATAAAAGATAATTTGAATTTTTAATTAAATTAACTCACCCTAACGACATTGTAATGCGAGAAGTAACCACCGGCGTGGTCCCGATGTGCGCGTACGCTCGCCTGCATCTCTCTCTCGATGATGCTGTACTCGCTGTCGGAACATTCGCCGGAAGGCATTGTCACGTCGATTAAGGTTGTCCCGCCGTACCATTCTGTCGATAAACAATAGTACATTGTGTATTAAACGACTGTAAATAAAATTTGAGCCGAAGCCGAAGGGGGCAGCTGAGGGCTTTAATAACTCGAGTTTTGTATTTTTTTACCGTTCGTGATACATACAATGTTTTCAATCACATTGGCCATGAAATAAATACAATATAAATATGGTTCACAACATGCCATGATGGATTACAAAAAGAAAATTGCTAAA